TTGCTAATTAATTATGCTAATACATTAGACAACTTAGAATGAAATGGGCACATTCCTACAAAAACACAAATGACTGAAACTGATGCAAGAATAACAGAAAATTTGAATGGACCTATAATAAATAGGTTGAATTAGTCATCAAAACAATGACCCACAAAGAAACTACCAAGCCAGATGTCTTCATTGGTGAATTCTGCCAAATATTTAAAGAATTAATACCAGTTCTTCAAAAACTCTTCCAAAAGATAGAAGAGGATGCCCTGATGCCAAAACCAGGTGAAACCAGATGAAGACACCAAAAGAAAACACAAAAAAACTACAAACTAATATCTCTTTTGAGTATGGATGCAAACATTTTCAAAAAAAATTCTAGCAAGCTGAATCCTGCAACACATAAAAACAATTATATACCATGACCAAGTAAGATTTATCCAGAAATGCAAGGCAAATCAGCAACCAAAAGTCAATTAATAAAATTCATCATATCAATAAAATAAAAAATGAAAAACACATGATCCTCTCAACAGCCCAGAAACATCATTACAAAATTTAACATCTCTTCATGACAATACTCTCCACATACTAGGAATAGAAGGGATCTTCCTCAACCTGATCCAGTGCGTCTGTGAAAACCCAGAACTGACTTTGTACTTAATAGTGAAAGACTAAATGCTTTCCCCTGACGATAAGAACAAGACAAGGACTGCTGCTCTTTTAACTTCTATTCAACATTATACTGAAGATTCTAGTGAGGAAAATTAGGCAAGAAGATGAAATAAAATTCAAATTGGAAAGAAGTACTATGATCTCTATTTGCAGATGACATGATCCCACACACTAAGGAATTCATTAAAATAATGAATCAAAATTGAGATGTGTCTCAATGCCATAGACTTTTTGTCTCAAAAATGATTCAAACTGTCCAACACTAGAGTTCACTGATCAAAATGAACTGTGGCTAGAAGTAGACCTCTAACTCACTCACTCCTAGATGGCCTCATCCAGGCTTCAAATGTGTATTTTGGGCCAAACTCCCCCACTTGCTATCTCACCTTGGATATTTAACACTTAACCTTCACATGGCCAAAGCAGAGCTCTTCATTATTCCCTCCAAATCTAACCATCCAAGTGTCTCCTCAATCTCAGTAAATGTCACCACCATTTGCTAAGTCAAAATGCTACAAGTCACTTACTTTGATTTTGAAATAATTTCAAATCTAGAGAAAAGTTGTGTCTTAGTCTATTTGTGTTGCTATAAAGAGACACCTGATGTTGGGTAATTTATAAAGAAAGAGCTTTGCTTGGCTCACAGTTCCATAAGCTATACCAGAGGCATGGCTCCAGCATCTGCATCTGGTGATGGCCTCAAGATGCTTCCACTTATGGTCATGCACACTGGCTCATGCCTGTAAACCCAACGCTTTGGGAGCCTGAGCTGAGCAGATCACTTGAGGCCAGGAGTTCAAGACCAGCCTGGCCAACACAGAGAAACCCCATCTCTACTAAAAATATAAAAACTAGCTAGGCGTGGTGGTGGACACCTGTAGTCCCAGCTACTGGGGAGGCTGAGGCAGGGGAATCACTTGGACCCAAGAACCTGGGAGGTAGAGGTTGCAGCTGCCACTGCACTCTAGCCTGGGTGACAGAGCGAGATTCCGTCTCAAAAAAAGGTGTTTCTACTTACGGCAGAAGAGAAAGGGAGAAAGTGTGCGCAGAGATCACATAGTGAGGAAAAAAGAGAGAAAGGAGGTTCAACAAGCAGCTCTCACAGAAACTAATAGAGCAAGAACTCGCTCATTACCGCAAGAATGGCACCAAGCCATTCATGAGAGATCCACCTTCCTGACATGAGAGAAACACCTCCCACTAGGTCCGACCTCCAATATTGGGGATCACATGTCTTTTCATTTATTTATTTATTTTTCCCCAAGACGGAGTTTTATCCTTGTTGCCCAGGCTGGAATGCAATGGTGGAATCTTGGCTCACCACAACCTCTGCCTCCCAGGTTCAAGCTATTCTCCTGCCTCAGCCTCCCTAGTAGCTGGGATTACAGGCATGTGCTGCCAGGCCCAGCTAACTTTTTGTATTTTTAGTAGAGACGGGGTTTCTCCATGTTGGTAAGGCTGGTCTTGAACTCCCTACCTCAGGTGATTCACCCACCTCGGCCTCCCAAAATGCTGGGATTACAGGCGTGAGCCACCACGCGCTGCCAGGGATCACATTTCAACATGAAGTTTGAAAGTTGCTTTCTTGCAACTTGCCATTGAGTTTGGAGATTACACCTTCCAAACCTCCCAGTGTAAACAGGAGCACCTATTTACCCTTAAACAGGATTCCCCACTGTTAACACTTTACCACATTCCATGTATGTGGTATATACCTTATCACACTCATTCTTTGCATATGTATTGCCTTTTTTTCTGAATCATTTCACTGTAATTGCAGATATGATGACCTATTACTCTTTGAATACTTTAGTGTATATGTTGTAACAAAGACACTGCCATATGTAACCGTAGCACAACCGTCAAAATCAGGAATTAACATTAACAGAATATTACCATCACAGATTCTAGTCGCATTTTATAAATTGCCCCAATTATGTTCTTTATAGGTCTGGATCCAAATCAGGATCATGTGTTGCAGTTAGTTGTCATGTCTCTTTAGTTTCCTTCTATCTGGAACAGTTCTTCAATCTTTACTTGTCTTTCAAGACCTTGGCATTTTTGAAGAGGACAGGCTAGAGTGCAGTGGCTCCTGTCTGTAATCCCAGCACTTTGAGAGGCCAAGGCAGGCAGATTACTTAAGGTCAGGAGTTTAAGACCAGCCTGGCCAACATGGTGAAATCCCTTCTCTACTAAAAAATACAAAATTAGCTAGGTATGGTGGTACATACCTGTAATCCCAGCTACTTGGAAGGCTGAGGCAGCAGAATCGCTTGAACCCAGGAGGCAGAGGCTGCAGTGAGCCCAGATCATGCCACTGCACTCCAGCCTGGGTGACAGAGCCAGACTCAGTCTAAAATAATTTTTTTTTTTTTTAAGACGGAGCCTCACTCAGTCGCCCAGGCTGGAGTGCAGTGGCACGATCTCGGCTCACTGCAAGCTCCGCCTCCCGGGTTCAC